CCCCCCCCCCCCCCCATTGAAAATTAAAAATAGTTAACATATACTGTTTATTTTTATGCGTTAAACTTTTATTTTTTCAAATATTATTCAATGAAAATACTTGAATTTCTCCGCAAAATATTGTAGTTTTTGCGAGGGCAATTAAATTGTTATGGACTTCTGATAAGAGTGACAATGAGAATGAGAAATAAAGCATACAATTCCATTTTTTCCATTTATCCCCAGGTGTCTGTCACTGAATTCGGATGTCCGCATCCAACGTACAGATGCATAAATATCGTCCGAGCTCTGGCCCTGCGCGAAAGCGACCCCAAAGCGTATCAACGCTTTCTCGAGCTCCAGGGGCAGTGCCCCAACGACGATGACTCCCTCGATTGCAATCGAGGCGAAGAGCACAAAGCGTTAGCAAGTTTCGTTAAACGATTTTTCAAGATCGATCACATAAAGTCAGAGGAGATTATTAAAATTGCAGGTATTCTCCAGGTAAATTTTAGTATTCTATAATTGGTTTAAAGTAATTACACTGTTAGAAATTTCTTGAAATTTCAATCTCAATATTATCTGAATTTTCCATGTTGTGAGTTTGAATTCAGTTTCAAATAAAAACGTTCACTACATTTCTCATTCATTTTGAAAATTCAAGAAAATTAGATTTTTCATGGTAACAAATCATTGATTTTTCAATGAAAGCTTGAATTTTCAAATTCATCGTGAAAATTGAATATCACATACAATTCAGTTTTCAATAGATTGAAAATTCAGAGAAGTAATTGCCTGAATTTTCAAAATTTTCAAGATTTTTCAGTGCTGTATGGACCTGAAAATCGAGAATTACTGGAATATTCAAGAAATTGACTGATTCGTCAATGACGAATTCTACACAAATTTCTTGAAATTTTGAATCACAATGTCATCTGAATTTTCCATGTTGTGAGTTTGAATTCAATTTCAAATGAAAACGTTCACTAAACTTCTCATTCATCTTGAAAATTCAAGAAAATTTGATTGTTCGTGTTAAAAAATCACTGATTTTTCGATGAAAGCTTGATTCTCCAAACTCATCGCGAAAATTGAACATCACATGCAATTCAGTTTTCAATAGACTGGAATTCAGAGAAGTAATTGCCTGAATTTTCAAAATTTTCAAGGTTTTTCAGTGCCGTATGGNTCAATAGATTGAAAATTCAGAGAAGTAATTGCCTGAATTTTCAAAATTTTCAAGATTTTTCAGTGCTGTATGGACCTGAAAATCGAGAATTACTGGAATATTCAAGAAATTGACTGATTCGTCAATGACGAATTCTACACAAATTTCTTGAAATTTTGAATCACAATGTCATCTGAATTTTCCATGTTGTGAGTTTGAATTCAATTTCAAATGAAAACGTTCACTAAACTTCTCATTCATCTTGAAAATTCAAGAAAATTTGATTTTTCGTGTTAAAAAATCACTGATTTTTCGATGAAAGCTTGATTCTCCAAACTCATCGCGAAAATTGAACATCACATGCAATTCAGTTTTCAATAGACTGGAATTCAGAGAAGTAATTGCCTGAATTTTCAAAATTTTCAAGGTTTTTCAGTGCCGTATGGACCTGAAAATCGAGAATTACTTGAATATTCAAGAAATTAACTGATTCGTCAATGACGAATTCTACAGAAATTTCTTGAAATTTTGAATCACAATGTCATCTGAATTTTCCATGTTGTGAGTTTGAATTCAATTTCAAATGAAAACATTCACTAAACTTCTCATTCATTTTGAAAATTCAAGAAAATTAGATTTTTCATGGTAACAAATCATTGATTTTTCAATGAAAGCTTGAATTTTCAAATTCATCGTGAAAATTGAACATCACATACAATTCAATTTTCAATAGATTGAAAATTCAGAGAAGTAATTGCCTGAATTTTCAAAATTTTCAAGATTTTTCAGTGCCGTATGGACCTGAAAATCGAAAATTACTTGAATATTCAAGAAATTGACTGATTTGTCAAATGACGAATTCTACAGAAATTCCTTGAAATTTTGAATCACAATGTCATCTGAATTTTCCATGTTGTGAGTTTGAATTCAATTTCAAATAAAAACGTTCTCTAAACTTCTCATTCATCTTGAAAATTCAAGAAAATTTGATTTTTCATGTTAAAAAATCATTGATTTTTCGATGAAAGCTTGATTTTCCAAACTCATCGCGAAAATTGAACATCACATGCAATTCAATTTTCAATAGACTGGAATTCAGAGAAGTAATTGCCTGAATTTTCAAAATTTTCAAGGTTTTTCAGTGCCGTATGGACCTGAAAATCGAGAATTACTTGAATATTCAAGAAATTAACTAATTCATCAATGAACAATTCTACAGAAATTTCATGTAACTTTGTCGTTGTTAAAAATTTCAAGCTTTTTCACTTGAAATTTCAAGAGTAATGTTCTAAAAGTGTATAAACATTTTTAGAATCCATTTGTCATTGATTACTGATTAATGACCAATTGATTCTAAGAAAAGATTGCATGATAAATTGCAGATAAATGGGCATGAAGTACCAACGACTGAGCCCCCTCATATGGCAGTATACGACGGAGCTTCGTACTTCGAACACAGTTGTCATGCGAATAGTTCCAAGAGTTTTACGGAAAAGGGTGGACTCATTATAAGAGCTGCTGTTACAATTAATGAAGGTGATATTAATTGCTCACAGTTAAGAATTGCTCACTGCAAAATTCGTCAATAAAATCGGCGAAAAAATGATAGAATTTTCAATAGAAGTTATCGAACTTCTAATGAAAATCTAATGAAATTTTTATTTTCTAATGAAATTCCCAAGTGTATCTAAATCTCAGCAAAAAACAATTAATCGGGTGCTGAAAAATTCACTTCTCCGATGAGATGGATGAAAATAATGCAAATAAATCTAGTTATTTGTGAGATGAATTGAAATTGCCCCTATACATATTCCAACTACGCATGAATATTGAAAAGACATTCATTAAGACGAATGGGAATGATAGAAAATCAAATGCATTATCTGCTGGAATGCATTCTAAAGGGGAAAATTATTCTCCACCGTTAATAATACCCCTTTGATTTTCACTTATATTATCATCATGTGTTGTCATAATCATGCAGTTAATGTTACAGGGGATCATATAAGCATGTGTTATACAGACCCCCTCTGGGGGATCGCCAACAGACGGCACTATCTACTGCAGACTAAGTTTTTCCACTGCCAATGCACTCGATGCTCCGATGCAACCGAATTCGGGACTATGTACAATGGATTGAAATGTAGCAGAAGGTGAGAAATGGACTCGATAAGTTATTTATTTATTTATTTATTTATTTATTTATATAGTATGGCTTGTTTTGTTTATTTGTTTTTTAATTTAAAAAAAAATTAATGATCTTTAACATAATTCAGTAGCGAAGTGGTCAAACGGTTTAAGTCGATTTTGGCTATTGGCCAGTTTTCAATGAATATCTCCAAATCTAAGGGAGATATCTAATTTTTTCTCATAACCATTTTAGTAGCACTCAATTCGCTCTACAAAAAAGGCTATTATGAAAATTTCGCTATCTCCCTTAAATTCGGAAATATTTCTGGAAAACTGAACTAAAAACTAAATTGACTTAAACCGTTTGACCACTTCGCTTCTAAATTCCTCTACATTCAACGACATTATATTAGATCTATATGTTTATATTTAGATCTATATATTTATTTATTTATGTAAATCCAACAGCATAAAGCCAATTCCGGATCAAATTAAAAATACACATTGTGCATTGTAACATATGATACTTGATTTTATTCATTGCATGCACATTTTTACGAGCTCGAAGTATTCGTTTTGATAATTACAAAATTAATGTTAATTACACAATGAAATAGCAATTGCTGCGGAACTATGCTCCCACCAACTTTCCTGGTCAGAGATAATGAAAAATGCCCGGATTACTTTTGCAATAAATGCGATGAGACAATGACTTGGCAAGCGGTGGATGCCAAGCTGGAGCAGATTGGAATTGAATTGGCGTCGATGAAGAAGAACGATGTCAACGAATGCATGAGGTTTTTGAATAAATACTCCAAGGTTCTGCATGAGAACCATTTCTACATGGTCGATGTGAAACTGGCGATGTCTCAGATGATCGGACAACAGGCGGGTGGACTCGCCGCCGTGAGCGACGAAATGCTCAGCGAGAAGATATCTCTGTGCAAAAAACTGGATGAACTGTTTCGTATTCTCATGCCAGGTATTATCTTACGTTTAATATATTCAGACATCGGCATAATCGAAATTTTGAGTTTCAGTTAAATTTGGAATAAGTCAATTGTTAATATTACACACCAATTTTATTATATTAAAAATAGCGATCGATTTAAATTTTCAAATTCCGAATTATTTTATCAAGCAATAATTGAGAAATTAAATTACCAATTATTATATTATTTTTCAAATTTCAATTACGATAACTAATCTAAATTACTGAAAAGTGCAACTTCTTATAATATTATATGTATATGTAGGGGTGAGTGGAGCAAAATGAAACAGTCAATAAACGACTTTTTGACGCAATTCAAGCAAAAAAAAATTTTTTATCTAATATTTTTATTCATTTTTATTCATTAACTTTTTTTTATTCTTATTCTCATCAGAACTACCAAGAATACCAAAAAGTTGACAAAAAGAATTGATAAAATTTTATTTTTACTTGAATTGCGTCAAACAGTCGTTTTTTGAGTGTTTCATTTTGCCCCACTCTCCCCTATTAATAATACCTAAGACTGCTCGATCATCTAAAGTCTTTAGAGACCTTCATCGGGGTCCAATCCATGTATTGACGTACAAGATAATTTCATAGAAAAATGTAGCGAATTCGCTGCAAAATTCCATTAAATTTTGATGTTGTAGAGAAGTTGAAGAAGTTTTCGAGATTTTTAGATTATTTCGTAGCTCTTGGCCATTGCAGGGTTCTCTTCAGGGGCATATTTTATTTATTTCTACAAACTAAATCAAACTAAATAATAAAAAGTTTAACAAAACGTATTATAATAGGTTTTGTTTACTTTTTATTATTTAGCTTGAGTTGGTTTGTTTGTAGAAATAAATGAAACGTGCCCCCTGAAGAGGACCCGGCAAGGGTTGAAACGTTGGGCCTAATCCAAATGACTTGATCAATTTTTATCATTTGGACATGAAAAATTTCGTCACCTCGAATTAGGAAATCATCGTAGAGGTCAATAACTACAAAACAAAATAAAATTTTGATTGAACTGTCTATTAGTTTTCGGATTCTATTCTATTCTATAAAAATTCTGGGTTCAATCTGCACGTTTTCTCTCTATAAAATAGTTTCTATTGGACATTTTCTCGCAAAAAACATACGGTAAAGCTGCGAAAAGGGGAGTTTACTGGATATATTATTTAATTATCAATATATTTTTTATCAAATCGTGCATTGATATCTTGCATTCATTCTCCAGCTGAAAATCGTCTCAGGGGTTTAGTGCTCTTCGAGGTACATGCAGCCATAGCTGAATTCGGAAGACGACAGGGGCCGGACCAACTTCGGGGGATGTTGATGGTACTCTTCCAAATTCTCACGATTCCAAAGAGAGCACTCAAAACTCCCTCTCAAACATCCCCATTAATTTTTATTATTTCTTGCAGCTCTCACGAACGGCATTGCGAGAGGCTTACGAATTACTCCGGCACGAACCGGATATTCTGCCTGAGGGAAAGATCGCTCGCATAGCTAACAAAAATCTCGTAGAAATGGATACTATCATCAAAACTCTCTGTCAAAACGCAGCTACACCAATGTGAAAATAAACCGATAATAATACATAAAGACAGTAAATAGATACATAAAACATGAATTCTTTTCTCATATTTCTTTTGTGCACTGCAGAAAAAAAATCAGTCCTGAAATAGGTCTTGTCTAAATAAAAAAAATCGCTAGTGCAAAATTACCGAAGAAATAAAATCCAGTACTAAACATTTAAAAACTGCAATGAGATGAAAAATTTTCATCGTAAAAATAGACTATGTTGTTTTAAAAAAAATTGTTTTCTGTGCAAGCGAGAAACATCATTTCCAGCACTACACTGAGACAAAAACGACAAAGTCCTCAAACAAGTCTTACTTGTGCCAAAAAATCGTTTTTTGAAAATTATCAAAAAAGCATTTTTTGTGTCAAACATACAGAGAGTGCGCCGGAATGAAAAATTTTTGTCGCAAAAATAAATTTAGCAGTTTAAAAAAATTGCATTCTCTGTACACGCAAGAATGTCATTTCTAGCACTACTCTTCGTTATTCGATACTCCCATACGTATTTTGCTCCCGAAAAATCTTTGTTTTATGTGAAACAAGGAATAGTAGTTTTTCGTTTCGACTGTCTAATAATCACAGACAAGAAATGAACCCTTAAATGAAACAATAATAATGATATGACAGCAATCTTGTAACTTAGGAATAAAATATTTGTTGATAAATTTTCCTCTATATGAGATATTTTCATCCTGAAAAGGCACCGTCTGGTGTGAATTATCCGCCGCTTGAGCCAAATATTTCGTTGCTGTCGAACGCAGAACAATTATTCATGTTTGAGACTTTTCAATTCGAACCAAACAAATTTTTTTTTGGCAATTTTCAACTAGCGATTTTGTCGGCCCAAACAAGACTTATTTGACAACGTGTTTGTTTTTCTCTCAGTGTACTTCTTCAATATTCGATACTCCTATACGTTTTTAAGGGGCAGTAGTTTTTTATTTCCGCTATTCAATAATTACGAATAAGAAATTAATTCTTAAATTAAATAATTATGATGATATGACAGCACTCTTATAAGTTAGGAACTAAATATCTCATGATAATCTTGCGTGAGATCTTCGTTTTTCTCTCAATTTGAAATTGGAAACGGGTCTAATGAAATTTCTCAGAATTAAATTTTTCATTCAATTTTCTTTTATTGTAGTACAATTTACACTCATGAAATATTATTTAAAGAACATGGAGAATATGAATGAATTATAATACATTGAATGAGAGCGGTATTTTATACCCTCTATCAAACAATTGAGTATTGTACGAAATGAAACGAAACATTTGCTCGTTATCATAAAAAAAAATATGAAAAAAACCATCGAGAAGATTCGCGGGAATAACTGAGATATATTTATTATTTCTCAAATATTCGTAACAGTAGATGCTGTCTCGAAGAATTGACGGTGACTTACAGTCATCAGAGATTGGGATTCTCATTCAGAGGAAAAATATCGATGAACCGAATATGAACGAAGTAATTGCAATGTAATGATTCATGAATACCGCATGCCATGAACTCCCCCAATCCTCCAATAACAAAATATTAATTTCAATAGCTAACGGACTGAAGAGACTTCCCCTCGTAATTCTACTTTGCACAGCCTATTCATTGCATTTAGCTTACAGCTACTTTACCCATCAAATCAAAATGAGTAACAGAAAGAATACTCTCGACAATTTTGTTTTGCATAAATTTTTCTCCTGGATAAAACAATGACGTCTAAAAATTGAATAAAAAATATTCGACACATATTCCCAGTCCCCACTGCAGACATACCAGACCAATCGTCTATTATCAAAACAAAAAAAACGCGTCATATTTTCACATCAATTATCACTTTCAGAAAAAAAAATCTTGCAAAACCCCAACTGTCTCGAAACCCATAACACTAAAAATTTACAATTCCATTCCTCGAGGCCCTGGAGCCAACCCCCGGAAAATAGAATACTGATAACACCCCACAGCCCCAAAACCCTCAAGATGACAAATAAGCTGTTCAGTAGAAAAAGTCTCGCATCGAATTAAAAATTTCCTAGTAAGTTCTGTCCTCATCGTCATTCCTCCTCGCATTGGCGGGATAATAATCAACAATGAGTGGTCTAGGCCTCTGTCCAATGCCGGAAGGCTGCGGTAGCTCACAAGCCTGCTCCTCATTACTGATGATAGAAACCATGGCCTTGACTACCTGATCGTCCAGTGCTGTCATGCTCCTCGTAGGATTCTTCATTCTCCTCAAGAAAAGTGCATTCCACTTCTGCCTCAAATGTAAAATCAGCCTGGCTGCCTCAAAGTCCAGCTTGAAGACAACCCAGTCATCCAATTTAAGAATAGTCATGCCCTCGCGCGTCTCCTCAGCCTCAGAATCCGACTCACTCTCCGGAACAGACTCCGTCTCATAAATGGTATCCATTGCCAGCCTAGCAGGTCCACTGAGTAAAGCAACAGTAATAGGATTGACTAGAGTTACAGTCTTAACGTGACAGAACCGTCCAGCTCTGCTCATCTCCTCGTAAATCAGCCAATCAGAGGGCAGTGTGTGAACACTGGCCGAGTGTGACTGCGCTGAGGTGGTCCTAGTGGACTTTGAGAACTCTTTCAACGTCGAGGACGGATGAAAGAAGACCTTGGACTCCTTCTGAGTCCTCAGCTGTCCATGCTCCCTGTCCACCCTGATCAAATTGGGATAGAGGCCAGCAGTGAGCGCAGCCTTGACGACAGCCCAGTTCTCCGAGTTCCAATTGAGATCCTTGATATCCCCAGTGCCCCTGGCCCTCACGAATCCCGAGGCCCTGAGCTGCCCCAGCAACTGAGATCTCATCCCCGTGATCATCTCCATCACAGCTGATGATATAAAATTCTTCTCACAGAACTTCCTCTCCCACCCAGAGGCCCTCGCCTGCTGCCACAATTGGAAAGCCCTCAGCACTGCCATGTGATCTGAGTAAGAGCCTGACGCAAAGGTCTTCCTCGCTGCTGTCGCTGCGCGCTTCTGAGAGGGCTGTGACGGCAGCAGAAATGGATCCTTATAAGCAAGACTGCAGACAATCGTCAGGATTGGATCCAAACACTTGAGGACGACAGCGTAAAGCAACATTTTCCCAAGTCTGGGCTCCACTGGAAGGTCTAGGAGATGAGTGCCAAGTTCTGTCAGGTCCTCCCAGGCATCGAGGGCGTCAATAGATTTCAACAACTGCACAGCATTCCTCGTTACTATGTTGGATGGGGGCTCGAGGGCCCTGTCAAGGTACTCGGCAATCGGCGTGTTCCCTGGGGCCAAGTGCTTGGTGAACAGACACAACTCTTGGAGGGGTAGTCTCAGGATTTCTGGTGTCGAGTACGCCTGCATGCTGTTGTAACGAATCGAGGAGAATAGCCTGTAGCAAATGCCCTTTTGGCATCTACCAGCTCTACCCTTTCGTTGTTTAGCACACGCCTGGGAGATCCAATTGGACCTCAGGGTGCAGACCCCCGAGATCGCATCGAATGACTTCTCCTTCACTTTTCCAGAGTCTATCACGTAGACAACGTCGTCTATTGTTATGCTTGTCTCAGCGATATTCGTCGACAGAATGATCTTCCTGTAGCCGGGGAGACTGGGCCGGAATACTCGTTTCTGATCGGCTGTCTGCATGTTCGAATGGAGGACGAATAAGTCGTAGATCATTGGCTGGTTCATCCGCTTCTCCTCAGAGTTTATCCTGTCCCTCATCATGACGATGTCGTCGTACCCTGGGAGGAAGACCAGGATCGATCCTGGGGGCTGTTTCGTGTGGATGTACTGGATCAAGATGAATAGAAGGTCATAGTTGATGTTGTCGTCGTTGAAAGTATTGTGATAAATGTCGAGGAGGAATTTGTCTTCTTCTGAGAGGGGTGTGTCGATATTTTGAACCCCGGAATCCTCGAGTTTACAGTCGTAAGTTTTGAGGTAGGCTTCGATTAGCTCAGCACACTCAATCTGGTTCATCTTCTTCGCCCAGTCGAGGGCTGTCCACTCGTTACTTGCTCGGATATTCAGATTGGCCCCCAGATTGAGGAGTTGCTCAGTCGTGTTGAGGCAGCCTCGGCCAGCTGCCACCATGAGAGGTGTCACCAGGGTGCTGCTGTGCTGGTAGTCGACGGAAATGTTCTCGGAGAGAATCAAGTGCAGCAGCTGAGCGAAATTGTCTTCTCCACCGATCAACCAGGCATCTGAAATACTCTTGTCCATTTCCTCCCTCAGCCAGGGCTCCAGCTCGACTCTCTCGGGCTGGGGTTCAGTCTGTTGTCCCAGGATTGGCGATGGCACTGGGGGCTTGCCATTCACTGGAGCTCGCCCCGTCTGCTGAGGGGTGTACTGCGTCCAGGAGTCCAGGACTTTTCTCTGTTCTTTTTTATTTATCAACTCTTTTCGCTTCTCATGCATTCTGTCGGTTGTGTACCCAGTGATCTTGAGGACGTCTTCGAGGAAGTATACGTCAACGTCGTAGGACCTTCCTGGGACGTTTATTACGCTGCACTGGGTGAAGTACTTGACGAAGATGTTAGTGTCCATGGTTGCACTCATCAGGATGAGCTTCAGTGATCTGAACTTGACCAGAGCTTCCTTGAGGGCGATCAGGAGAAAATCACAGAAGCGATCGCGTTCGTGGACCTCGTCGACTATTATGTGAGTGATTGTCCCCAGCGCTGCGTCACCTCCCATCAGTGTTCTCAAGAGAACTCCGTTTGTGCAGTATGTCAACAGGGTCTTGGGCGCCACTCGACTCTCCAGTCTTATCTGATACCTGTAATGATTTTTTTTGTAGAATGGAATGTTCGATGAATTTGAGGGGCAACAGGAGGCCACCATTTCCTCGAAATTTTTAAACTAATTTTCTGCTCGAAGTTATTAATATTGTTTGAACCTAAAGCACATTGATCTTCATCATCACCTCCTCGAGATTGATGTGGTTCGATTCGTAACAATATTGATAACTTTCGGCAGGAAATTTGTTCGAAAATTTGGAAAATTATTGTGTTACTCCTTAAAGAGTTGAGGAAATTCAGTAGCGAAGTGGTAGAAGGACATAAGTGTATTTTTTTCGAAATTCTTAATATTATTATTACCATTTGAAAATTAATATTTCAATGTGATAAAAGCAAAAATTATTATTTTTTTTATGCACTAATCTCGTTTTACCACTTCGCTACTGAATTTAGAAGCAAATTTATGATGAGAAATTGGGGTACTGGGCGAAATTCTCACTGCACTCGATATTCTCATGTAAATAAATAATTAATAGAAACGAAAAGTGAACGACGATTGACTCGAATATTTCGAATCCAAGGGCATCAAGCATCGCTTAGTTTTATATTCATTTTCATTGTTAAAAAAACTATTCAATAAACAAATCATCAAAATCATAAAAAAGTAGCAATTTTTTCTTAATCTCTAATGAAATATCTTAAATAGGCTAAAATCATATACCATCGATTCAAGAAAATGTGAAAATAAGAGGAAAAAATATGCAATCGCATGAATATATAATTAAAAAATCTATTTGCTTATCTAATTTATATTCACTCTGCAATATAAGAATTCAATAATCTATAAATTGAAGAGTGCACGTTATTACTCAAAATTCTGGGATGGAAATGGATATAAAATATCTGTATTTCTCTTCCCTAAAATGAGCTTTATTCCACCTGAATAAATATTCTCTTCCATCTTTCTTATATAAAAGGGAGACGTCACACTTTTATTCCTGAATGTTCTGAAAAAGAAATCGCATGCATGATGATGATGATACTGATTTTGTTGATGATGTTGATGATATTGATGATGTTGGTAATGTTGATGTAGATCTACGGAGAGATGTTTTCAATCACGGACAATTTATGCAGCTTTTTCGAGAGTTCAATCATGAGATTCATTGAAAGTTTTCACAAGACAACAACGAAAAAACGCAAAAGTAAAAAATTATGTCTACAAAGAGTTACATCTTTGAGTAAATGGTATATATATTTATATGTCTGTATAAAAGGAGCCGACTTGATCGTATTTAGTATCCGAGATATTCATGGTTTTCCATCGATAACGCCCGTATAAATTAACATTGAATTATTTTCTGATCTTCGATACCAACATCATTTCCAACAGAACATGTGTTGATCCTCAATTAAATTTTTCATGGATTTCGACGTATCTCCGACTGATTCTCGATAGAAATTTCCATCCCTCTTTAATTAAAAAAAATTCATGGATTTTCAAAAGAAGTTTTGATCATTTCCCACGAATTTCTCCTCAGCAATACTACAGAAATTTGTATACGTGAAATAACATATTGATTCAAATCAACTTACAATAATAACGTGATGAATCATATAAAACCAATCATAGTGATAGAGATTAGACCTCGTCAATAAAATAATTTATCCTACCCGTAAGTCTGTCCAATCTTCTCGTCACGTTCAAAAGCAACTCTTTCAGCAACTGAAACAGCTGAGAGTCGTCTTGGCTGGGTGCAGATTATCCTGCAGGCCTGGTTTTTCTGCTGGCAATGCTCGAGGATGTACTGGGGGACTTGCGTGGTCTTTCCTGAGCCGGTCTCACCAGCTATTATCACCACTTGACTTGAGGAGAGGGCCTCCAGGATCTTCTCACGAGCGTTGAAGACTGTCAAGCTCCTTCGCAGCTGCACGAGGTCCTGATTCGTTCGCAGCTGAGGCACCTGAGCTATTGTACCATTCAGTCTGCCCATGGCTTTTGTGTTTGTTGTCACCTCGTTGTCCATCGTGCGCTCTCGCTCGGTTGGAGGGAGTAGATCCTGTCTCTCTTTGTTGTTCAAGGGGAATTTCTGGATTAGATTGAGCATTGTTTGTTTAGAAAGCTTGTTCAGTTTTATTGACGCGTCTGATTGGATTATTGTAGAACCCTCGCGTTTGTACACTGTGAGGAATCTATTAGCTCCTTTTCTGAAATTGTGGAGAAGATTGTGATTAACTATTGAGTGGGTTTGAGAGATTGCGAGAGGACACTGTTGAAAATTTTTGGCTGACGTTTCTAGTACACTTGTTGGAAATTATCATCACATCATAGTGTGACTGAAAGAATTTCGAAGAATTTCAAATTTCGTCATTGAACGTTTGAGGTTTTATGGGCAAATCAATGGGAATTGTCAATTTCAGTTCAATTGGTCAATCGAAATTAATACTATAAACACTGTGGAGTATTTATGACTCGGTTTATGGTGAGAATGAAATGTTTATGACAGGAAAGTTTTGAGGGTTGAGTTTTTAGTTTTCTGTGTGAGAGAAATGGAGTGATTTTAGGAATTTAATTAATTTTTAATAATTTTTGTAGGTTTTGTGTGAATGAATATTTTAGGCAGAGCTACAGTGGAGACATTCACCACAAATTAATTGAAGATTCAGTGTAATTCGCTACTGAATATTGATTTTTTAATTGAATTCTCATCCTCTTGTTGCTTAAAAATAGGGTATTTCATTGAATTTCCGGGAAAATTTGGAGATTTACTATTTTCCACCCTAAATCGAGTTCAATGTTACTCGTAATAATCTCCAGAATTGTGATTCTGTAATTTTACTTGAAAACGACTTAGGATACGTGCAAAATTCTTGAAATTTTTTGATAAATCTTCCCAAAAAAGGACCAACAGCAGAAGATTTGTCTTAGGCGAATCTCGGGGTGTCCAAATGTTTTTAAACAATGTACAAACTCTTTCGCACATGAAAAACATTTGTACATGTGATTATTTCACTAGCGAAGTGGTCAAACGGTTTAAGTCGATTTTGACTATTCGTGAGTTTTGAATGAATATCTCGCAATCTAAGGCAGAGAGCAAAATTTCCGTTATGACCTTTTCGGTAGAGTACATTGAGAGCTTCAAAACAGATATGCACGAAAATTCCACTATCTCCCTCAGATTTGGAGATATTCCTCGAAAACTCAGCTGAGAGCTAAGTCGACTTGAACCGTTTGACCACTTCGCTCTGATTTGTCTCTTTCCTACACTTAAATATCCCCTGAATTGAATTTTCCGCTGACGAATATTCTGCTAGTTTCAGCTTGATACCAGTGACAGCTGAAAATCCATGCACCTGAAAATGCTTTGTGAATTCGAAATGTTGAGCCAGGCCATTTTTTCACTTTATCAACAGACATTCATTATTTTTTGGAGAACCAATAGACATTTACCCTCGACTTTTGGACTTCAATCCAAGCTGAGCTGCCAATTGATGAATATAAGCCCTCTCTTCAGCTGTATAGGACGAGGGAAACTCCAGCTCCTTCTGCTCAGGACAGTCCAGCAATTTTTTCACAGTCAAATTAACAGCTATCCTCGTATCCTCCCCAATTGCCACTTTTGTCTGGTGATTCTTGCGCCTCGGCATTTTGGATTGTCACTCGTATCTCCTTTGTTTTGATTGTTGAGGGGTCTGCAGAAGCCACAGGTTATTTTTGCAACACCACGACAGTCAGAGGGATCAGAATGAATACCTGATGTGTAGCTCTTTATGCGGTAATTATGAATAACTCGAGGCCCTTGTTGACGTAAAAAACTTTGGAATAGCGAGGTGAATGGCAAAAAAATAATGCGAATTCAAAGAATGACGAATGGCTGTCTCCATTTTGGATAATCCACAGCACTCGCTGGGGCATAACGGACATTTGGGGCAGGGGATCAGGCACCTGATGCCATCTCTCTTCGACGAGTCAACTAAAGTCTCTGGTGTTGAAAGCATCATCTGTCGGGCCTCGGTCCATGTCATGTCATATGATTGTGCAGTGAGGGGAGTAAACTGAGTAAACACAACATAATTACTCATGAGAAAACTCCGAAAAGTAATGGACATTCATTGTTGAAGTATGCCGTAGTGGGTAATTGGGGGAATAGTGCTAATTGGCCATGGAAAATAAAAGTTCCAACAACTTCATCAGCTATGTGGGCTTCGAGGAGCATGAAATGCAGGTAACAATTTTGGAAATTAGTAGGGATGTTTCGAGTGAAAAATCTTGAAATTTTTAACAAGGAAGAATTCACACGGAGTTTCATTCATGTTTTTAGGGGGAATCAGTTAATGTCTGGAATGTTTCAAGCAATTTGTCATTTTTAAGGCTTTATATTGAGGAAAATTAGGGGAAATTGTGGGAATTTAGGCAAGCGTTGTTCTGTGTTTTTAAGCTATTGAAAATAACATGAACGAAAGTAATTCTGTTGGGAGTCGAAGATTAATTAGAAGCTCCGTGAAGGATTTTATTTGAAATTCGAATGGAATTCACTACATGGAACGTTCAAATGGGAGTTCATGGGGTTATTACTTGGGTTAAAAAAATGAATTCTGGAATTTAAAAAATATTATTGTTTATTCATTAGTCCAAAGGATAAATTTCGAATCTGAACGAAACGGTTAATTTGTGGAGAACATTCAGATAAGTAGAATGAATTCAGTAGCGAAGTGGTCACACGGTTTAAGTCCATTTAGTCTTTAGTTGAGTGTTCTAGAAATATTTCCTAATTGAAGGGAGATAGCGAAATTTTCATAATAACCTTTTTTTTAGAGCGAATTGAGTGCTACTAAAAAGGTGTTGAGAAAAATTTTGCTATCTCCCTTAGATTTCGAGATATTCATTAAAAACTGGCCAATAGCCAAAATCGACAGAGAGTTTGGATATTCCCAAAAATGAAAACTCACTTTCTTGAATTTCCAAGTTAAGACCCGGGTGGACTAGGGGAGGTTGGGGTAAAATGGACACTTGACTTTTTTAAAAATGCTAATGAGGGGTTGAAATGTTAATAAAATTTAATATTTTTTTTTCAATGCAAAGAACAATTCTCTCCCTTTGTGGCGAGCCTAAACTGAACTCAATTGATAAATTTGTTTCTGAGTTATGAATAATTTTAAAAAAGTATAAAGTGTCCATTTTACCCCACCCTCCCCTATCTTTTGAACGTTATCTCGATTGTTTTTCCATCCTCATAATGTAAAATATATCAGTTCCCATTGGATTTTACATGACACAGGAGTCCCTAAAAATTATGATTTTACAATCAAAAAAGAAAAAAAAACTGAACATTTTCAAAGAGCGTTTTTAATAAAGATTAAGAAATAAGTCAGATCGAGAGGAATAATGAATGGATAATTTATCATGGTAATTAACTATCTGACAGTCATTGCTACTGTGACAAATAACGACCTAACAGCCATTAGATACATCAAATTACCAATTTGCAATTTCCTCCCTATTGGGTTTATTTCCCAATATTATTCAAAAACGCTGTTTGAAAATGTTCAGCTTTTTTTCAACGTTTTTTTGATTCCACAATCATAATTTTTGGAGACTCCAGGGCTATGTAAAACTGAATAGCAATTGAAGATAATTTCAGATTATCGAAATTAAAAAAACAACCAAGATCATGTTCGAAAGATGATCCACTCGGGCCTTAATATAAAAATTCTTGAACGATTCGATCCTAAATTCAACTCAAATTCAAATCAAATAAAAAAAAAGAATCTTGTTTAAAAAAAAATCCATTTTATTCATTCATTAACGTGAAAGAATAAATTTCCAATCTAAATAAAAAATGATTAATGTCTAAAGAGTCTGAATTAAATTCAAATGTAATTATTATTAAACTTAAAAAACTGTAATTAAAAAAAATCATGCTCCATTCATTAATGCAAAAGAATGACCTTCAATTGTAAACAAAAATCGATTGATCTGTAAAGAACATTCAGATGAGCAGACGGGATTCCCTGGGGGAGAATAAAATAAAATTGCTGCCGGGTGAGGTCCTCATAGCCGAGGCGCAGAATGTGCTCATGTTCTCCCCAGTCGGGGACCTGAAGCAGGGAATCTCTGGGACCCTCTCCGTCACAAATTTCAAGCTAACATTCATCACGAGTGACGATCTCAACGGGGAGGATATAAACCGCCAGCAGAATCACCTCTACGGCTACACAGACTCATGTTTATCGAACATTGACGAGATCTACTTGATTACGGGGGACAAGAAGAGAAAACTCATCCCAGGGAGCACGATACCATCTAAGGTCAAAGGAATTTTCATTGTGTGCAAGAATTTTCGCACGTGGTCGTTCTCGTTTAAATTCTCACCAGTGGGTCATGGGAAGAATCTTCTTGCGACACTACTGCATCATGCATTCCCGAGCAGGCATCAGCTGTTGTTTGCGTATGATTTTAAGGAGGTTTACTACAGCAGTATTGACAAGAATGTCAAGTTCTTTCGGGATTTGAGTGATTGGCGGGGGGAGTTCGATCGCACAGCCCAGGGGAATGAAGTGTTGAAGAGGAATTGGAGATTGTCTTCTGCTAATGTGGCCTTCCAATTGTCACCGAGGTGCGGGATATTCTCACATTCATGAAAAATTACTTAATTGTTTACTGTTCGTTTGACCCTCACAAGCTTAAAATGCTGAAAATAGTCCGGAGCCTCCAATTTTTTAGCTACACTGAGAGAAAAACAAACACGTTTTCATTTCTTTTTTCTGGAAAAATTTGTAATACGCATTATGGCAAATAGATAATTTGTTGATTTGTTTATTTATCTATTTATTCATTTATTTAGTTATTTTTTGATATAGTCAAACAGCCAAGGCCAATTATATGACTATAGTAACACAGGATTAAATTTAATTGTAGTTCAGTACTAGTTTAACCAATACTGGTATTTGAGGATAGTATTTCATACAAATGTAAAAATTTAAGGGTAGATAAGGCAATACATGCACTGAGAGAAGAACAAACACGTTGTCAAACAAGTCTTGTTTGGGCCAACAAAATCGCTAGTTAAAAATTGCCAAAAAAGAATTTGTTTGGTTCGAATTTGGAAGTCTCAAACATGAATAATTGTTCTGCTTTCGACAGCAACGAAATATTTAGCTCAAGAGGCGGATAATTCACACCAGACGGTGCCTTCTCAGGATGAAAATATCTCATAGAGAGTAAAATTTAGCAACAAATATTTTATCCCTAAGTTACAAGATTGCTATCATATCATTATTGTTTCATTTAAGGGTTCATTTCTTGTCTGTGATTATTAGACAGCCGAAACGAAAAACTACTATCCCTTGTTTCGCATAAAACAAAGATTTTTCGGGAGCAAAATACGTATGGGAGTATCGAATAACGAAGGAGTAGTGCTAGAAATGACATTTCTTGCGTGTACAGAGAATGCATTTTTTTTTTAACTACTAAATCTATTTTTGCGACAAAAATTTTTCATTTCAGGGCACTCTCTGCATGTTTGGCACAAAAAAATACTTTTTTGATAATTTTTAAAAAACTATTTTCTTGGCACAAGTAAGACTTATTTGAGTGTATTCAAAATTTATGATTCTGCCGATGTCTGCTGCATGAATACCTTCAAAGTACATCAATTAAATTTCGATAAATTATGTCATTTGTTATAATTCCAGTTTGCCTCAATACATAATCGTCCCAGCATCCGTTACCGATAATCAATTGACTGGAGCTGCAGGACACTTCCAAGAAGGTCGTCCCCCCGTGTGGTCATGGTCGAACAGTCGAGGTGCTGCACTAGTAAAAATGTCTGAATTGATGTCGACGATCACCGAGAGAACCCAGGAGAACATAATGCTGGAGAATATACGAAAGAGTCATCCCCAGAAACTAGCCATGGCTGTACTCGAGTTGAATAAAGAAATAACTGTTAAATCTATAGCTACTAGTTTTTCAAAGTTAGTCGCATTGTGCTCACCAGGTTTGTTTCACAACTCTTCTTCCTCCAATATTTTATCCATTCTTCTTATATAAAAAGGAGATGTCACACTCTTATGCCTGAATGTTCTGAAAGAGAAATCGCATGCACGATGATGATGACAGTGATTTTGTTGATGATGTTGATGATATTGATGATGTTGGTAATGTTGGTGTAGATCTACGGAGAGATGTTTTCAATCACGGTCAATTATATGTAGCTTTTTCGAGAGTTCGATCATGAGATCCATTGAAAGTTTTCACAAGACAACAACGAAGAAACGCCAAAGTCAAAAATTATGTCTACAAAGAGTTACATCTTTGAGTAAATGGAATATATATTTATATGTCTGTATAAAAGGAACCGACTTGATCGTATTTAGTATCCGAGATATTCATGGTTTTCCATCGATAACGCCCGTATAAATTAACATTGAATTATTTTCTGATCTTCGATACCAACATCATTTCCAACAGAACATGTGTTGATCCTCAATTAAATTTTTCATGGATTTCGACGTATCTCCGACTGATTCTCGATAGAAATTTCCATCCCTCTTTAATTAAAAAAATTCATGGATTTTCAAAAGAAGTTTTCATCATTCCCCACGAAATTCTCCTTAGTAATACTACAGAAATTTATATACGTGAAATAACGTATTGATTCAAATCAACTTACAATAATAACGTGATGAATCATATAAAAAATAACGTGATTTTTTTTTCAGAGAACATACGACAGTTCTGGATGCAGGATAATAATTTCTACTCGTTATTAGAGAATTCCAAATGGTTGAAATACATTTCTCATTGTTTGCAAAAAGCTGTGGAGGCTAGTGATCACTTGAGCTCCGGAACATCAGTTATATTACAAGGTAATAATAAATAAGTTGAGAAAAGCGTTTAAAAATGAAACTAGTGTCTTTGAAAATACAAAGCAAATAAAGCGATTGATAAATTTCGATTGAATGCGTAATTTTGGATTGCAGAAGGAGCAGGGAGAGATATGTGTTGCGTTATATCGAGCTTAGTCCAATTAATATCCGATCCATATTTTCGAACGATAACTGGATTTCAGTCTCTCATACAAAAAGAATGGGTGGCAGCTGGGCATCCTTTTTGCGATCGTCTGGGACATATCGTGAAATTCAACTCTGAGAAGTCACCAATTTTCCTTCTATTCCTCGATTGTGTCTGGCAATTGATCCAACAGTTCCCATCGAAATTTGAATTCACGGAGACGTATGTCACGACATTGTGGGATGCTGCACATGTATCTGTCTTCGATACATTCATATTTAATTGCGAGAGAGATCGAATGTTTGCAGCTATGGTAATTTAATATATAATTTTATGGATGTTTAAATTTAAAATTAATGATGGCCTCAAAATTTCAAGATAGACAAGGAATTACATGAACGTTTGGATTTTATATTCAAATTAAATCCCCAAAAAATGGACATTCAAATGCCGCAATTACTTGGGTTTCAAAAAATTATTCAATTAATAAAAAAAAAGCCTCATTATTCTCTCATCAATGCAAAATAATTAATTTCAATTAGAAAAAAATAGATTGATCACTAGAAAAAATTCTGATGAGTAAAAGGAATTCTCTGTAAATTAAAGTAAATTTAAAATAATAATTAATTAATTAATTATTTTAAAAAATTTACTTTGATTCAATAAAAAAATTTAATTATTTGGTGTAAGTCATAAAGACTAGAATTCTGTTTTCCATTTGAAAAAACGGATAAAATTCTTTGAATTTTTTTCATATGAACTAATAAAGTGAAATTCCACAGGATCCAAATACACCCCTCGTTCTGCGCAGTGTCTGGGACTGGCGAGAGCAGTTCACAGACCAAGACATTCTCCTCTTCTACAATCCCCTCTACAACTCGAAAGAGCCAGAAAAAACCCCCCTTAAGCCTCAATACAATATTTCGTGCCTTGAACTCTGGACCCAGTGCTACTTCCGATGGATTCCACCCCTGGAGATCCATAATGGTGGCAAAAACCACGTGGAACTGTTCTCGCGTCTCATGCAGAACGACATAAATCAGTTGAGAGTCAACACTAGTGACGGTTGCACCTCTCCAGTGGACAAGGTGACGACATACTTGGTGCAGATGAATATCGATAGTTTCTACCCATTCGGTAATAAAAAATCAGGGAATACTGTGAGCACCCCTATTATGAACAGTTCAGCGATAATGTCTGAGAGCCTTATGGACGCACAATCGCTCATCACAGCTCCTGACTGATAGTGAAAGCATGACTACTTGTACGAAAAAAATTTAATGAAAAAAAAAAATTCTTCTGCAGTTTATTGAACTTTCTAATATTTTTTGGTCGATTCTATTGTGAAATTTCGCAGCTTATTTGCATTTTTTTCAATAGAAATGTTCGATGGAAAGAATTCTGTAGAAAAAATCAATTGATATTTTTTATAGAAATTCCTCGACTCAAAGTTTGGTTGAGTCGAAATGAAAATGAAATTTAATGAAAATGAAAGTTTTTTTGTTTTATTTTCTTAATGACAAGAGGAGAAAATCAGAATGGAAAAAACTTGGGGAGTTCACGTGAATTCCTATAGAAAATATCTCAATGGAGAAAATTGTGTGAAAATGAAATTTTCCTGATTAACTAAAAAATTTCTATTGCACATTTTTTATAAAAAATACAGCAAAATTTTTCAGTATCTGCACATTTCTTCACTAGAATCAACCAAAAAATGAAAGAATTTTCATCCGATAGAATTATCTATCAATTTCGCCCGGTTTTTCTACGAATTTTTTTCGTGCGTGTCGTGGAATTTTCTGTTCTGAGAATGAAGATATTCGCATGTTGGGTGGGAGTGGCAGCTATTTGTTGATAAGAAATTACTCTGTACATTCGATTATGCAATCAACAAATCAGTAGCGAAGTGCTAAAAGGAGACAAGTCAATTTTGACTATTGACCAGTTTTCAATGAATATCTCGGAATCTAAGGGAGATAGCAAAATTTTTGTTACAACCTTTTTTGTAGAGGCGATTGAGTGCTACAACAAATGTGATTACGAAAATTTCGCTGTCTCCCTTAGATTCGGAAATATTCCTCAAAAACTCAACTGGCAGTTGAGTCGACTTATCTCCGTTTACCACTTCACTACTAAAATGTAGATAATGATCCTCTGGCCTGCGAAATTCTCGCTTTTCCACCCCGATATAAGATTGAATATGCAATAGTATAAGTACGAGCTGAAATTCATTTTCATCATTTTTATTCTACCGGAATTGTGATTCGAGCACCAATCGTTGGAACAATGTATCTTTTATAAGAACTAGAAATTAAAAAAATATCTATGAAAAATCTCGTATTGTGCAACACTTGTAAATATCTGAGTATTTCATATCGGAAATACGACTTTGTACAATTTTTTTGTAGTTTGAGGTATTTAACTGTTCTTCTCGTGGACCTTCATGATGACGCTTTTCACTTCTGTGTAAGCCTCGAGTCCATATTCACCGCATTCCCTTCCTTGTCCTGACATTTTGTAACCACCGAAAGGCATTTGGGATGACAGAGCGTTATAAGTATTGACCCTGGAAAAATTGATAATCGAATTAAATTATTGATTTCATTACGAAAAAATTGAGTTCATTTTTCAAAAATGAATTAATCGAAGAAAAATAATATACAAATAAAAAAATTAACCGTAGAGAAATTAATAATGTCATTAACGTCATTAATAATGTCATTAATCGAATTAAATTGCTAATTTTATCACGAAAAATTAATTTAAGTCTTCGAGGAGGAATAAATTATTGAAGAAAAATGTGCAAGTGAAATATTCATACCAAACAGTGCCAGCTCTCAGGCCCTGAATCAAATGATTCGCCTTATCAATGTCTTTAGTAAACACAGCAGCTGCGAGACCATAATCAGTTTTATTAGCACGATGAATGACTTCATCAATCTGACTGAACTTGAGAATCTGCTGTACAGGACCGAAAATTTCTTCGCGAGCAATAGTCATGTCGTCCTGAACATCAGCAAAAACTGTTGGGGCGACGAAGTATCCCTTGTCCCCTATTCTGGTGCCCCCAGTCTCCAATTTGGCGCCTTGTGATTTTCCACTCTCAATCATAGAGAGAATTTTGTTCATTTGTTCCTCATCAACCTGTTCAGAAAGAGGTCGGTGATCGACGTTTTATATTGACTATTCCAATGAATAATTAGGAGATAATGCGATTGCATTTTTAATTAATTACAAATAAATGAATGAAGCAAAAAAATAAATAGGGGAGAGTGGAGCAAAATGAAACAGTCGAAAAATGACAGTTTGACGCATTCAAGTAAAAAAAATATTTTTTGCAACATATTTTTTTTATCAGTGTTTGTTTATTAACATTTTGCTATTGTTGAGAGTACTAATGAGAATAATAATCTTTCGTTCAGTAGAATGAAAAATTATTGAGAAGTTTTGGCGGGAGAAGATTATGTCAGTGAATTAATTGAAAACAAAATAAAACAGCAAAATCCAAAGTCCAGAGGAAGGCCCAGTGGGAGACCCAGAGGGAGAAAAAAGGAAAATGTGATACTGAATTTCAAAGAAAAAAGATAAGTGTAATCCGGCGTAATATAATTAATTGAATTATAAGACGAATAAAAAATTATTGTTCTCATCACTACGGGGTAACCTATTGGTCAATAGTTCTACATTATTGTCATGATGGGCCTTGAAAAAGCTCAAGGTTTAGTAACGATTCTCGCCACACAATTTTTTTGATGATGATTTTATATTTAATTTCACATTTTATCTATGCCGTAAGGAATTGGATACTTTTTCTCAACAAAAAAAAGTTGACATTCTTTTACCCTGTAATGGTCAAAGTGAACACAAGTCTGAATATTGAAAAACTATTATTATTCTCACCACTACTCCCAATAATAAAAAAAGTTGAAAAAAAAAATTGAACAAAAAAAATTTTGACTGTTTCATTTGGCCCCAGTCTCCCCTACATAAAAAATTAAGAGTAAAAGAATGATTACTACCTGTGGCCCATGCTCAATATTAAGATCAAAAGGATTCCCAACCATCCTCTTCTCGGCCCTCTTGACACTCTTCTCCACGAACTCATCGTAGATGTCATCCTCAACAAAAGTCCTGGAGCCAGCGCAGCAGCACTGGCCCATATTGAAAAACAGTCCAAAATGTGCGGTTTCAACAGCATAATCGAGATTAGCATCCTTGAATATGATGTTGGGTGACTTTCCCCCCAGCTCCAAGCTAGTTCTCTTCAGATTGCTCATGGCAGCCCCCTGTTTGACGAGTTTTCCCACCTCAGTGGAGCCAGTGAAAGCGACCTTGTCGACGTCATTATGAGCCACGATAGCAGCCCCAGCCTGTCCAAATCCAGGCACAACATTGAGGACTCCAGGAGGGAAGCCAGCCTCCTTAGCCAGTTGTGCTAGGTACAGAGCAGTGAGTGGTGTCTGCTCAGCAGGTTTCAGGATGATGGTGTTCCCAGTGGCGAGAGCTGGGGCGATCTTCCAGGCCATCATCAGCAGTGGAAAGTTCCAGGGGATGATCTGACCGCAGACGCCAACAGGCTCATGCCTCGTGTACGCCATGAAATTTCCGTCCATGGGGATGACCTTCCCATGGTTTTTGTCAGCCCAACCAGCGAAATACCGCAGGACCCCAGCACTGGCGGGCACATCGAACCCGTAAGATGCAGAATACGGTTTTCCATTGTCAAGTGTCTCTAGGGACGCCAGGTACGTTCGATCTCGGTGGATGAGGTCGGCTAGTTTGTTCAGGAGGACCCCGCGTTGAGAGGCGTCCATCGTTCTCCATGGGGAACCAAGGCGAAATGCCTTCCTGGCTGCCTGCACAGCTACGTCGACGTCCGCAGCATCTCCTTCCTGGACTTCGGCGATTACCTCCCCGGTGGAGGGGTTTATCGTTTCGAATGTCCTGCCAGACTCGGATTTGCGCCATTCGTTGTTTATGAATATCTGGGGAAAAAATTGGGGCGTTTTTCTTGGGTGTTGGCCTGAGAGATGCGAAGGCGTTATGTGATCGATCATGAAGTGGTCATGTGACCGTCATTGACGGTCACAATTGGCCGAAAAACTGTGACGGTCATTTTGCATCTATATAGATGAAACACTTTTTTTTGATCTATTTTGTTTCTAATTAACTAGAACTCTTGACTTTGTTTATTTACTTCAGTATCTAGAACTCTTGACTTCGTTTATTTTGTTCTGAAGATGAAAAGTGTAATCGTTCTCTCATGAGTATGGAAAAATATATGTGAGCACATGTTTCATAATTTTATAATTAAAAAAAGCTGTTGTATAGTTGTACACATACATTTCGAGTCTTCCATAAGAACCTTATAATAAACAATAATTGATAATCAATAAGAAATTGAACGAATAGACGATGCCAATTATGTAGAAATTATATGACCGTCACAAAAATCAATATATTTATGACGGTCATTTTAACGGAAATTACCATTTTACTCTTTTGACGGTCAAAAATTCTTTGTGACGGTCACAGAAAATTTTTGACCATCATTTGCCATTAGAAATTTCGGGACGTCACATGACCGTCACAAAAATCAATATATTTATGACGGTCATTTTAACGGAAATTACCATTTTACTCTTTTGACGGTCAAAAATTCTTTGTGACGGTCACAAAAAATTTGTGACCATCATTTGCCATTAGAAATTTCGGGACGTCACATGACCGTCACGAAAATCAATATATTTATGACGGTCATTTTAACGGAAATTACCATTTTACTCTTTTGACGGTCAAAAATTCTTTGTGACGGTCACAAAAAATTTGTGACCATCATTTGCCATTAGAAATTTCGGGACGTCACATGACCGTCACGAAAATCAATATATTTATGACGGTCATTTTAACGGAAATTACCATTTTACTCTTTTGACGGTCAAAAATTCTTTGTGACGGTCACAAAAAATTTGTGACCATCATTTGCCATTAGAAATTTCGGGACGTCACATGACCGTCACGAAAATCAATATATTTATGACGGTCATTTTAACGGAAATTACCATTTTACTCTTTTGACGGTCAAAAATTCTTTGTGACGGTCACAAAAAATTTGTGACCATCATTTGCCATTAGAAATTTCACACTTTTGACTTTTTTAAAAATGTTAATGAGGGGTTGAAATGTTGATGAAATTTAATAATTTTTTTTCAATACTTTTTTTCAATTCTGTCCCTTTGTGATGAGCCTAAACTGAGCTCAATTCATAAATTTTTTTCTGAGTCATAAATTATTTCAAAAAAGTCTAAAGTGTCCATTTTACCCCACCCTCCCCTAGATGAGAAATGACTGTGATTTTTTCTTGACAAGTTGTGACGGTCACCAAGGGGGAGGGGGAATTGTGACAGCCGTCATGAACGCCTCGTCATGTGACCGTCAATGACGGTCACATGACCGTCATATGACGGGTCATGTGACGCATTTGCATCTCTAGTCACCCAATATCATGCAAATGCCACAATTCCCCTCGCACAAACGGTGCAACAAAGACGAAACAAAAAGCTAAGCGAATAAAAATGAATATCTATCAAGTTCAGGGGTCATCAATCGCAAAAAATAAATACCACAACATAACCCCTTTCCTCGAATATTGAGTTGGAAGTGCAGATAACATTTTTTCATGTTTGGCAATATCATCGCATTTCCACGTGACGGTTTTAAAAAATACCGAAGCCTCTTACCCCACAGTACATTATCGAGGGGTTGGTTTCCGGAGCCGGGAGGGCAGCTGATGAGTACGCCCTCAAGGGCTGGACCCTCCTCATGAGACGCAACATGATTCTTTAATTCGTTTGACGATTATGGGACTGAACTTTTTCACATTCAGGAGACACAGGCCGATGTGCGCCGATAAACTGCGATAAATCAGCGAATGTTTTCTGATATGTGACTATATACCGGCGCGACAACGTCGGCGGACACCCCACGGACACATTTTTCATGCTGAGTGACATGCGCCGTAACATGCGCGATAAACTGTACATAACATTCAATTCCACGCGGGGGCCCATTATCATATTGCACTGTAAATCAGCACACGATACAATATTGGCATGTATTATACAAGCAAATCGACTGGTTTTTACCATATAATAATACGGTGTATTATAAAAAATGTTAATGCAACGGATTTGTCGGAGTCGTGAAGATGTTATGTTCACAAAAAAAATTATGCTCTCGTAAATAACATTGTGTTGATAATATTGATTGTATCATTACGAAATAGATTATTTTCCTATTGTTTGTGTTCTAGGAAATTCGATTTGTGACCTTCAACATGCCTATTTTACTTTCAGCGTACAAACATTAATAAAAAATAAATTTTAAGAATATAAAAGCCAAAAATTCACTTCGTCTAATCGCATTTTTTGTTCAACAATTCACCACCTTTAGCTCCATTATATTATTAATATCAGGAAGAATTCATGAATAAAGCCTCAACGTTTGTTTACACTCAAAATCACATTTTTGAAAGTTTAATCATTCACTGAAGAAAAATTACAATGAGAATCGTAAATAAATAATACATCAGATTGATTGAATATTTTCCTGTTGTTTGATGATTTAGGAAATTCGAGTTGTGACCCTCAACATGTCAATTTTACTTTCAGTATACAAAATTTGAAAATGACAAATTAAATTCTCGGATTGTGAAACGAAATTATAAAATTCAAAAATTCAATTCGTCTAATCGCATTTTTCATTCAATAATTCACCTTTACCTCCATCATATATTAATATCAGGACCACGAAGAATTAATGAATAAAGCCTCAACGTTTCTTTACACTCAAACTCACATTTTTGAAAGTTTAATCATTCACTGAAGAAAAATTACAATGAGAATCGTAAATAAATAATACATCAGATTGATTGTGCCATTACGAAGTAGAATATTTTCCTGTTGTTTGATGCTTTAGGAGATTCGATTTGTGACCCTCAACCTGTCTATTTTACTTTCAGTATACAAAATTTGAAAATGACAAATTAAGTTCTCGGATTGTGAAACGAAATTATAAAATTCAAAAATTCAATTCGTCTAATCGCATTTTTCATTCAACAATTCACCTTTAGCTCCATCATATATTAATATCAGGACCACGAAGAATTAATGAATAAAGCCTCAACGTTTCTTTACACTCAAAATCACATTTTTGAAAGTTTAATCATTCACTGAAGAAAAATTACAATGAGAATCGTAAATAAATAATACATCAGATTGATTGTGCCATTACGAAGTAGAATATTTTCCTATTGTTTGATGATTTAGGAAATTCGATTTGTGACCCTCAACATGTCAATTTTACTTTCAGTATACAAAATTTGAAAATGACAAATTAAGTTCTCGGATTGTGAAACGAAATTATAAAATGCAAAAATTTAATTCGTCTAATCGCATTTTTCATTCAACAATTCACCTTTACCTCCATCATATATTAATATCAGGACCACGAAGAAATAATGAATAAAGCCTCAACGTTTCTTTACACTCAAAATCACATTTTTGAAAGTTTAATCATTCACTGAAGAAAAATTACAATGAGAATCGTAAATAAATAATACATCAGATTGATTGTGCCATTACGAAGTAGAATATTTTCCTGTTGTTTGATGCTTTAGGAGATTCGATTTGTGACCCTCAACCTGTTTATTTTACTCTCAGCATTCAAAATTTGGAAATGACGAATCAAGTTCTGATGTTAAAACAAAATTATAAAATTAAAAAATTCAGTATGGCAATTCTAATCGCATTTTTCATTCAACAATTTACGGCCTTTAGCTCCACCAAGTTTCTTGATCCTCGTCTGATGCATGTGAGACATCAATGTATAAATAGCGGGACCACAGAGCAGTAACAAATAAACCCTCAGCAATGTTGGAAAGTGAAAAGCGAAGTTCCATTCATTCGGTAATGAAATCGTGAATTTCTCAGTCTCCTCAAAGTAGGGAATGTTCCTCAGGATGATGATTCCCTCGCACATGAATCCGAGGGGATACAGAGGTATCCAAATGGTGTACCTGAACCAGGTCAGCAATCCAATTTCCACATCCAAAACTTGTGTAATGTAGTAAGGATATCGAAACACTTCGATCAAGCTCCACACGAAGAACAGATAGAAGACGACTGGTTTTGTCTGCATGCGTGGCTCAGCCTCGATCATCAGGAAGAGGACGAAGGCACGACCTCCAACTTGTACGAATGCCAGCAGAGGATTGCCCTTTGTGTATCCGAACATGGGATGCATCACTTCGAGGAATTGCAAGAGCTGGAGGAATCTCATAACACTACCGACACTGCTGTAGGTCTCTGGCATGGAATCTAGAAATTATTATCAATAATCCACTTGTTTTTATTCATTCTCATGCAGAATATGTCAAAATATTTAGTATTCTACTCATGAACAAAAACATGAGAAAAAATGAGTTATTTATGGAACATAAACAAGATGAATAACAACTACAAAGCGTAAAAAAAATTAAGGCCCGGGTGGATTATCTTTCGAACGTGAACTTGGTTGTTTTTGTTTTATTTTGATAATCTGAAATGATCTGCAATTGCTATTCAGTTTTACATAGCTCTGGAGTCTCCAAAAATTATGATTGTACAATCAAAAAAATGTTGAAAAAAGCTGAACATTTTCAAAGAGCGTTCTTGGATAATATTGGGAAATAAACCCAATAGGGAGGAAATTGCAAATTAATAATTTGATGTATCTAGTGGCTGTCAGGACATCATTCATTCAATTTTTTTTTGTTCCTTTTTTGATTGTACAATCATAATTTTTAGGGACTCCTGCGTGATGTAAAATCCAATGGAAATTGTGATATATTTTACATTATGAAAATGGAAAAACAATCGAGATAACGTTCGAAAGATAATCCACTCGGGCCTCAAAAAACATAAATAAAAAAAAAATTAAATAAATAAAAAAGAAATGAAGTAGTAAATAATTTTAAAAAAATTACTTTTCTACTCATGAGTGAAAATATCAGAAAAAATAATTAATTTATGAAACATAAACAACATGAATAACAAATACAAAACAATAAAATGAAATTGTTGGAGATTAATGGGATTGACTATTTTAAGTGACGTTGATATCACCACAATTTTGGTAATTTATTAATAATGAACTTGCTCTTAATTTCGATGCACTGATTAATCATTTTCGACCACTGATGTTAACTTCTTTCGAATTTGGGACGAATGAGTTTAAAACGAAATGTATTTTCATCACTAATTATTTTTGTAGTACTTTCTATCTAATTCAAAATCCTAACAAAAAGTTGATTTCATTTGGTTTCATTTTTATTTCATAAAGACCCAACATTCCAATTTATAACAATGAAATTAATAAAATCAGTAACTAAAAGTAATACTCATGAGAGAAAGCATTATTTATATTGCAGATATTTTAAAAATTATTGAACTACCTAATCTATCCAAATGATTTAATAATAAACATACACAGATTTAGAGTATTTTTTACACTGACCTGGACCTTCTCGTGAATAACGTATTGCCATGACTGTGAGAACATACATGAACCCAACAAATTGGCATAAATTGTACATGACGAGGTAAACCTTCTTGAGATCTTCTGAAAGAAGGGGACAAATTAAATAAATTTGGAATATTACAGCAATTTAAGGATGTTCTACACCCTTTCTGCCAAAATTCACGTTTTTTCAATTTTTCTGGCAAACTTATGATGGAATTGACGTGAAAAAATATAGCGTTTTTGCATTTTGTCATTATTTAATGACTGACGAAATTTTAAGATGGTGCGAACATTTGCCTGCGTTTTCTCTAAACTTTTAAAAAGAATCACAAAACTGTAGAAAAAACGCATGAAAATTATCGCACCACTACGCAACTTCGTGAGCCATTAAAGAATGACAAACCACAAAATCGTTATATTTTTTCACGTCACTCCCATCGATAATTTGCCAGAAAAATGAAAACAACGTCAATTTTGGCTAAAAGGGTGTCGAACATCCTTAAATAACACCAATTGAGTTTCTGGAGTTATTTCAACCTTTCCTGTATCCCAATTCTTCTTTATGGAGTTTATCATACATGTGAGGGTAATCCTCGTGAACGTCTCTCTTCTCAAGCACTTCCCTGTGAATTTTCTCTCTCGCAGATGTGAAGCCCTCGTTGAAACTCTTCGAGGTGTCCTTCCTGCTCCCTCCTTTGGATTTCCCTGTTATGTTCTTGCTTTGAAATTTTACTGGGTCCAAGATTATGTATTCAGGGTCTTCCTTCACTGTTAAACGTGGCCAGCTGTCGTCGATTTCTTTCCTCAGAATGAATTGCATTTGGTGGTTTATCAATTCATACATATTCTCCTGGAATTGAATGGAGAATCGAATGCAAAAATTGAATGCTTTGAATAGGAAATTTCAATCCATTTCTATTGGAATTCCCTAAAAATTCTATTGAAATTTTTGAGTGTAAATTTTTCAATTTTTGTTGTATTTCGTTTAGATTCTCATTACAAAAGCCATTAAAAAATCTTGAAAAAATTGTGCCCGAGAATTTTAATAGGAAAAAATACAATGGGATTTTTTAAAAATAAGATATCTATTAAAAAGCGTATGAGAAAACTACATAATTTTCAATTAAAATCAACAAAAAGGAACATTTGTATTAGAATTGCAACGGAAAATCAGTTTTGAATGGTTCAAGGACCACTTAGAGTTTTCGCTGGGAAATTTCATACGTTTTCTATTGGAATTCTATAACAATTCCACTGAAATTCTCGGACATGAGTTGACGCTTTCTTCACCATATTTTGTTTTGTCTCTTATTACAAAATCCATGAAAAATAAATAATAAATGATACTTGTTTCTTAAAATAAAAATTGGAGAATAATTTTTTGTTCAGGTGTATGGGGAAAAAGAGTCAATTTTTGTCCTCAAATCTAAACACTATAAGCACGAACCGTAACTCCTTCTTTAATGAATAAATGAATACATAAATTCCATAAAAATTTTACTGAAATTCTCGGGGATAATTTGCTGAAGCTTTCTTCACTGTATTTTATTTTGTTTCATATTACAAAAACATTTTCGGTCTGCAATGTATGTTGCCATGCTTACGCTAATGTAATAACAGTGATAATAATAAATGATACTTCTTTCTTTAAAAAAAATTATGAAGAATGAATTTTGATTCAAGTTTTTGTCGAAAAAAATGCAATTTTGTTTCTCAAATTTAAACACTATGAGCGTTAACCTCAACTCCTTTTTTAATGAATAAATGAATACATAACGATCATAAATGATGTGCATAAACCACTAGCCACTTCAAGAGCGCGCGATGCGCGCTCCCTTTCTGAATAAATATAAAAGTCAACATCAATTTTCCTTTTCCTATAAAATATCAATCAAAAATGTTACAATTCCCACAAGAAATCGATGAAACTCAAACAGAATTTCCAACAGAATTCTGAGGAAAAGTCAGTAGATCATTCTAGGACATGCACTGGATTTTCTATTAAATAATTGCACATGCTTTACCTCCCTGTTCGTAGAGCCATAGAATTGAATTGAGAAATCGTAGTTGACTGTATCACCATTGTTGCTCTTGAAGGCAGAGAATTTCATGCCGTCGTCGTCAAGAGTAATCTCCGTCCCCTAAAAAAATTGAACCAAAATAGATAAAAATTACATTACCACTGAAATCAACGAAATTTTAGCTGCAACTCACCTGAGGATTATCAACATCAATCCTCACAAAAACATCATTTTTGGTCTGCGACCAGTAAACCTTGGGTTGAACAGACATTTCCCTACTCGGACGTATCACTCCCAATTTTTTATTTCCCCAAAACGATGATTTATCGGATCGAACCGCAGCAAGGCAGTGATTGTTGTCAATTTATGAGAAACTGCGCCGTTTCACTTAGCTCAAGTGCCTTTACGAATTCACAAAAAAGAATTGCAAGTCACTGAAATCCTTCACAGGTGCATAAGATTATGTATTTTGAGATAGAAAAAACCATTAAGAAAAACAATTAATGAAATGCGGCATTCTAGCCGGCATTCATTACAATGTTCACGGTTTCTCGTGAACACAAAAAATCTCGTAGCTCTGCTTTATCACTAGAGGACAGCTGTTTCACGGATCGAGTCAACAGTTCATAAAGTAACCTCTGAGGGGCGAAGGCGCTGCAAACTGATCACTTGCTGTGTAATTCGAATGCTTTTTTAAAATAATGTTTATTTTCATCACGCTGTGACAAAAAGTGAACTTTTCGGCACGCTCCGTGTGTCTAAAAGTCCAATTTCCGCCACATTGTGATGAAAAATATTGTTCGTAACTCGTGAAAAAATGTTTTTTAGCTCGTGGGATTATATCACTCGCCGAAGGCGCGTGATATAAACCTCCCACTCGCCAAAAAACACTTTTTTGCACTCGTTACGAAATATACTATTTTGACACTGCTGCTACCTTCACCTCCCGCGAAAAGTGCCTTTTCGTTTACTCGTAAACGAAAAAAGGCACAGTTCGCCACTCGCTGAACGTAACATCACTGTCAAAAACTATTGTTCGACACATGTGAGACAGGAATTTTCACGAGTGTGAAGTTGGCGGCCCGAGGCGGCGCCGAGGGCTGCCAATCACACGAGCTGAAAATTCTGTCTCACTCGTATCGAAATATGCTATTTTGCACTCGTTACGAAATATACTATTATCAACTGATACAAATTGTTAGCTTCATAACAGAGTAACGTAAATGCCAAAATACGAAAATTCTCTTGAAAGTGAGAAACGAGAAGTAACTATATGGAAACAAGTTTAAAATTCGAGGCTTTTTGACTGAGAACATTTTTTGGCACTTACGTTACTCTGTTATAAAGCTAGCGAAATGTTTGCATGAAGGGGTTGAATAAACAACTAAAAGAATACACTGAAATTTAAATCACGCAACAGATTAAGAATATTAGAACTTACGTGGCTAGTGTTAAGAGCATCTCATAAGTCAACATTGTTTTCTTGATTTTCGTGCATTACAAATCATTAGATTAATACACGGACGAAAAAATTTAATAGAAAAACCTATCGAATTCGTCAGAAAATTCTATTGAATTTCTATTGAACTGATCTATTAAAAGAACAGTTTTTGATCGATACTGTTAAAATGTTCAATAGAAAATATTCAGTAGAAAAAGTCAATAGAATTCAATTTTTCTGTATAACTTATTCTATTAAGATATTTTCTGTAGAATTTCCTCGGTTCAAATTTTCTAAGTTTTTTCGTTTGATTTTCTTGATGAGAGAAAAGAAAAATAGAATGAAAAAAAAATAAGAAAATTTTTAGAGTGAAGCAAATTCCATAGAAAATATATGAAAAGAATAAGTTACATAAAAAAATCGAATTCTGTTGACTTTTTCTATTGACAACATCTATGCACGCGCTCGCGCGCGCGCTGATCTATTCATTTGTTGAAATGAAGAAATGAAATTCATTGAATTTCATTTTCTCATGAATAGCTTATAAATATTGATAATGAATCAAAGGGAATTCGACTAATGATTGAAGTGAATAGCCAAGTAGAGTAAAAGAATATATAAAGAATTTTTCATTTTCAATTAATTATCTTCAATTTTTGTAAATAATCGGTCTCCATAAAAGGACAGAATTTATTAATTTCATCGATGATATATATACATGTGAAATATATATATATTATATATATGACGTGAAAAAAAAAATTTACCACTGAAGAATTTGAAATTATGTCACTGAAGAATTTGAAAATGCCACATGTTTTTTTTGTGAAGAACTTCGTGTCACATATTGACCAATCAGAATTAAGGATTAGCGGTCAGGCAGTTTCGAGATATTTGGATATAAAACAACTTCACGTTTCTTTCATCTTTAGTAAATAGGAAATGTTTCCTGTTGAACATGTCAATAGAATCAGCCAAAAACTAATAGAAAGTTTAATAGAATTTTCTAATGAAGTCGATAGGTTTTTCAATTAAATTTTTTCGTGCGTGTATGGCTAGCAGTTGAACGGCGATGCCTGTTATTATCAAGGTTGTAGAACCTTTGATACTATGACAGTGGAAAATGTTCAGTTTTCAGGAAGAACCGCTATAGGTGTTTCTTAGAATACTTGGACTAAATTGAAAACTACTGGGATGTAATTCGAATGCCGGCATGTGCGGAACGGCTCGAGGGGCGGAGATACTTCTCCGCCCCTCTAATGCCTTCGAGATTGTTCTTCATCGGTTGCAGGGCAATTCGTTAATCCTTTCTAATGAAAAGCATGGACAATATTTCGAATCGAAAATGTAAACTCGAACATGGCAGATACCTTGAACGAATGGAGAAAGTAAGACAGTTTTCATGAGTACAATCGTCTTGCGGCGAATTTTCATGAAGTCCGTCGAACAAACGAAACAGAATTGAATAACATTCAATCACAATTTCATAACAATCTCATAGAATTATGAGATTATCTCACGTTTTTGACGTTGAGGATAGGAGAATTTAATTTAACTAATTTTTATTAATTATTATTATTTAATTCAACTAATTTTTATTAATTATTAGAAGTGTTGGTCTCATGTGTTCCCCTATCAGACTAAAAAATTACAGAATTTTCCGTGAAAATGAAAAAAAGCGATTTTTAGAAAATGGATAAACGTCCCTAAATCGAAAATTATAAAATGCATTTTTTTCAAGTTTAACTTTCTCATGTTCATTTCCCCCTGTTTCCACACAGTAAAAAATTATGTCAATTTCGATTCTAAGTCCACACCAAAACTACGGAAACCATTTTTTATGCTTACATAGCACCCCATAAATTTCCCTCTATTTGCTAACAAAAAGAGGCGAACCCAGTATTTAGTGACCGGAAACGGCTGCGAGATGTTTTCTGAATGCTTTTTAAGGAATTAAATACAAATAACGGGAAGATCAAATGGAAATAATATGACTTTGTCAGCTAGTTTTCATAATTTAAGTGCATGAAATCAAATAGAGTCATTTCGTTCATTTCATCGATTGAATTTTGAAAGATTAAATGAAAATATTCAGGATTAACCTCACGAAGAGGCAGAGGCGAGGCTGTGCACTGGATTACATAATATAGATGCATTGAATTACATAATATAGATAATAACAGATAGAAGGCTAATTTTAAAGGGCAACTATAAGACTTCATTGACACTTTTGAATGTTTATCAAAAATGAGACTACCAAATTGTCATTTCTTTATGTAGGGGAGATTGAGGTAAATCATACACTGTTGATTTTTTTAAATGTTAATGAGGAGTTGAAATGTTAATAAAATTTAATAATTTTTTTTCAATACAAAGAACAATTCTTTCCCTTTATGATGAGCCGAAACTGAGCTCAATTGATCAGTTTGTTTCTGAGTTATGAATAATTTTAAAAAAGTCTATTGTCCGTTTTACCCCACCCTCCCCTATCAATGGACATAGTAACATCTTCATATTTTCATAACTTTACACATATGAAAAAATTCAATGGAAAACCCGGCGAATTCGCAGAAAATTCTATTGGAATTCTCCAGAAATTCTGTGGGGATTCTATTAAAATCCTAGGGAATTCTCGTTAAAATTCTGTTCGTTTTTTGCGCATTATGGAATGAAATTACGAAATGCACATTTTGTGCATTCCATAATTTTTGAAAATGTATTTTTTTCCGTACTGATCTTCACTTTTGCCAGTCCGGGGATTGGTATTGACCCTTCCCCGAACTGGCAAAAGTGAAAGTCACTAGGGAAAAACATCGTTAGCGCCTAGTGTCACAGGGGTTTTCGATTCGTGTGATTGGCCAACCTCGCACTCTTCGAAAGCTCCAGTGGCACTCGACGCGAAACACAATTGTTTTGACCGTCAACATTACGACATTTCAACAGAATCGAATTTATGGTAAACTCTCATGTTATCTGGTCAAGATAACATTAACGTGGAGTCAAATTAGTAGCGAAGTGGTCAAACGATTTTCGTCAATTTAGTCTTTAGTTGAGTTTTCCAGAAATATTTCCGAATTTAAGGGAGATAGCAAAATTTTCATAATAACCTTTTTTGTAGGGCGAATTGAGTGCTACTAAAAAGGTACTGAGAAAAATTTTGCTATCTCCCCTAGATTTCGAGATATTCATTGAAAACTGGCCAATAGCCAAAATCGACTTGAACCGTTTGACCACTTCGCTACTGAATTTTCATTTCAATGTATTTTTCTTTGGTGCTGCATGCATTCTTTTACATACGGAGAAAAAAGATACGGATAAAATCCGATGCGTCACCGGTATTTTTCCGGGGAGTTTGCAAGTTGAGTGAACTCCGTGATTTTCCATTCGGCGCACAAGAAAAATAAATTGAAATGAAAATTGCCTCCACGTTAGTGTCATCTTGACCTGAACCCCCACATTCACTCACCATCGAATTGTCCTTCTACTCATAAATACCCAGGTTGAACAATAATTTTTGTTAAACGCGCTGGAAGAACCGAATGATGCATCGAGACTGAGGAATCTCGGCTTTCGGATCATGCGGCGAAACCCGGGATACTCTGGTGCTTTTGGATGTACAAAAGACCGGAGTAAAAATCCACTGGGAGCCTCCAGGTAAACCTAAGCCAGGTACGCCAGGTGGTACCAGATATTCTTTTTTTCCCTCATTCACCTCCACCTACTACTGCTCTCTTCTTTTTTCCTCTTGTTCACTGTCTCGTGTTTTGCAGCCCCGCCAGTGCGCTCGAACCACAGCTGTTTCCCCCTTGAGGTTCATAAGCGAGTGGCTCACCCTTATTGTCAACCGTGAATATGTACATGGGGCCAGTGTGTGCATCCCCTCCCTGATGTCTACCACTTAATCTCGTTTTATATTCTTTTTTAGTTCTTCATTTCTGATGGAAAGTGTCAATATTGGGATTTCACTGGTATCCTCTTAGAGTGGATCGTTCTTTCTTTGAAATTGTATGTAACATTTTTAAACATTTAAAACATCAAATTTTGTTTTTAACATCAACAATTTTTTTTTATTTCTGCATTTCTAGTGGGAATTATCAATATTACTATTCCAATGTCATGATT